TTGTATTGAACCCAAGGGCTAATTGTGACTTGGCCTCTGACCAGTACGTACATATTTCATTGCCATGGAGTCCAAAGCTGAAAGCTAGAGCTGAAAGCTGAAAGGGTTTCTCGCCCCAAATTCTACGCTTATTTTTATCATTCTTTTGCTTGGTTAATTTTAATGTACACAAGGCATTTAGTTTTATTTCCGTAGGCGCTTTCCGTTAATTAAATAAGCTAACGCCTAACCGCCTCCTTTGGCTACCAATTTTTTTAATGGCCGCATCAGTTTTTATCGCTTAATGCCTTTTTGGGTTGGCTAATGTAATGCAGTTGGTTGCTCTGGGAATGGAGATTGGGGCTTTGAGGGCTCTGGTGGTAGGGATTCCAGTTTAATTGCCTTTTAGGGCTATCAAATCATCTTATTCGGAGCCGGAGAAACCAAACATTGCCTGACTCTTTTGTGTTATGCTAATGTCATTATAACGTGATTTATACTAATATGTTCAACGAAGCCTATTTATAAATGTATACTTTTAATGGCTCCTATATATTATATATTCGGAACTTAATGGTTAGTTTTGTGGCGATTTTGATCAGAGCATTCCCAGGACTTACATCATCCGACTGCACCACCCACGAACGTTTTATTTGCTTTCATTTCTCAATTGAGTCCTGGCTGCTTTCCGAGAATTCGACACATATTTAGACACTCATTCACACGTTTCGGCCAACTTATTTAACAACTTAGACCCAAAGAGAACAAGTCCTGTACGTATCCTTGTACATTACTCGAGCAGCAAGCGGCTGCTCAGCTTGAATGCAATTTAAGTACGTACTTCAGAAGCAAATGTTTTATAGAGCACCGACACACATTTACACAATTTCCCCACCGTACGTATATAGAACTCAAGAGCACTTTCAACATTCACATCAAAAAAAAAAAAAAAATAAAGTAAAATAAAGGACATTTTGCAGTCGAATCTGGCAAGGAAAGAAGATGACTCGTTCCGCCTCGTCCTGCTAGTGCTTTCAGTTCTAGGCTCCTCCCTGCTGGCACTGTGTTTTATTATTTAAAAGCCTAAAATCTATAAAGTGCGGTGCAAATATTTGAAATTGTCGAGGCAACGTTTCTTGTTTCTTCCTCGCCTGACTCGCTGACTGCAGTTGACAAGAATATTTAATTTAACTGATATACCAGTTTCCAAGCCGAGCACACATGTCGAGCATTTGCATTTGATTTTGGTTCTACTCTACAAGTACTCACTCAGGAAGTGTCTCTTTCTGAGGGTACTATGGACAACTTTTCAAAGATAGTCACTGGCACTACGTAATCGATGTTGTATAAGAAGAAATATAATTTAATTCCTGATTAGTTTTGGTATTATTATTTCTCCTAAGACCTGATTAAGCAAGAGTATTTAAATATGATTTTTTGTATTATGATTTCTTTTCACTTTATTTAAGTATTCTCCTTATCATTGAAAGTTAGAATACATTCACTTCCGCCTTTCAACAGTTTGCACTTCCGTGATAAACGAAAAAATTTGGAACCCAGCAAGTTTCTTTGAAGAACTATTGTAGCTACGTGCACAGCTGGTGGCAGTTGAAAATTTCCACACCCCGCCCACATTGACTTTTCCAGACTGTGAAAAGCCTGCCCCTGTCCATTTAAATTATAAAATTTTCAAATGCTCTATTTACCGTAAATATTTTCATAGTAATTTACGCAAATTTACATAAATAAGCAGACGCAGTAGCGGCCCACGTCCAGTGTCCATTGTCCATTGTCCAGTGGCCAGTGGTCGAGCTAACCTCATTTGAAAAATGTCAAACACAGAAAAAAGGACCTGCCCACTCCACAGACTGGCATTTAATGGGTCGCCTATTTTTCCACATTCAACAAAAGAGCCTAGCCCGTGGCAGGACTAGGAGCAGGACTAGAGCCATAGACGGAGCTCCATGGTCGTGTCGTTTGTTGTCCTAATAGCTTTTCTATAATTTATCATGCAATATTTATGGCACGCGCTTTTCCATCTACGAATTATGCATTTATTATTCAAAAGCGGCGGTGGCCTGCGAAGCGGTGTCCCCCTCTAATCGTTGTCAGCATTTAGGACATTCTTTCCCCACTGTTTGTTGCCAACTGCGTTGGTCGTCCAGTTCCAGTTCCAGTTAATTGGTAATTTTAAATTGAATAAATATTCCATGATAGTGCAATGGACTCGGCCGCAACTTTTTAGATTCCAAACGATTCGAGTGGTCATCGCAGTTGTCATATGTTTGAGTGTGAATGCGGGGGAGCGTGTGTATGTGTCCCGTATCCTGTGTCCTGGTCATTATTGTTGCCGGAATTAAGCCGTTAAAGATAATGACTGCGATTTATACGGTTTGAGCAGGGTAATTGGCAGCTAAAATACTTTCAAAACTGATGGCTAAAAATGATTAAATTGCTTTTGTTGACGAAATGGACGGGTTGGGGAGTTATTTATTTAAAAAATAATTGGATTGGTTGGGTAATTTATAAGCGATTTTTGCTGAAATGTTTTTAAACATAAGCTGGCTACTTTCGCTCACCCAAATCTGAAAGTTGGTATCCGTTTAGAACGCAGTTTCTGTCAACTGAGCGAGAAGGTCTCATGTCTTTGTTTGTTTTACAATTTGCACCTTCAAGGACTTTTAGCTGGACGTCAGCACGACGTTTGCCGCAAGGACGCGGTGGCACCAGAGACAGTAGCAAAGGAAACGCAAGTCGCATTCAATTTAGCAACAAAACCAAACTTTTTTCCGAGCCGGACAATAAGCGAAAGCAAAAACTTGCCACACAGGCACTCGCTCACACACCCAAGCGCCCAAGAGCAAAAGCGGATCCACAAAAGTAGGCAACAAAAGTTGCCCCAACGACTTGAGATAGTTGCATGGAGACTGGGGACAGCAGACAGTGGACTGGGGACTGGGGAAGTTGCCACTGCAACGCGCTAACATAAAAAGCAAAACTTTTAACTGATGCCACAAGTAAAAGGTGCTACTTGTCGGGAACTGGCACCTCGCCCCATTGTTTCGTAATGGAGAAATATTGTTTAGCATGCGAACAGAAGTCGAGGAGCGGTAACAGACAATGCTGACAGCGGACAAAGGACAAAGGGGACACCCGACAAAGGATGTGGTGGGGTACTCCCTCCTCGGAGTTGCAGCAGCTGCAACGCTGCACCGATTCAAGTAGGGTATTATTATGCATAATGGTTCTCGGTCTATTGACATTTATGGCACTCGGGTTGCAGAATAAGAATTGCGAGTTTGGTTACTTGGGCAAAGAACTTTAAGTGGAGTTGGATACTTAGTTGGCAGCCAGGCAATGGAAATGAGATACGGATATTTCAGGCCAAAAGGTGTAGCCAACAAACTTGTATTGGTTTCAGAAAACTTTTAAGGATGTATTGCCGGTATTGAGAACTCTTTTCTAATTACCTTTGCAGCTTCTATTTGTTTAGTAATTATTTTAAAAAAATAACAAAGTTCAAGAACCTGCGAATTTCACATGAACTCATGTTTATATCCGTATATTTTTTATGCGGCTATACATTTCTCATAACTCTATTTATTTTCATATGCTGATGGCAACCCATTATCGTGCGTGTGAACATTTATCCATTAATTTGCGCAAATAAAGTTGCCGCAACATACGCGTACTCACGTAACCGCAATTGAACTGGGCAAAAATAATAATAATAATAATAATACAAAATAAAGAGAAACAGCAAATAAACACAGACCGAGACAGAGCCAGAGGCGCGCTGAAAGGTAAACAATTTTAATTTATTTATCCAATAATAAACCCATGAAATGGGTGTTCATGGGTGGCCCCACTGACCTCGGACAGAGTCAGAGGCTTCCACCATTTGTTTAAGACCTAAATGAGCGTAGAGTTGTTTGTTAATTGAAATTAAAGAAAAACATACATATATGTTTAAAAAACATTTCTTTAGAATTGGATCTTGGAGCTATATGATACCCGGTATTTATCTCGCATCTTTGCATCTCAAATAAACTTGTTCAAGTTTCTTTTTTTGTACATCCCCCCTGGGATTTATCCACAGTTCCGGTGATTAATCAGTTAACGCTTTAAAAAGCTTCATCAGTGTACATGGCGCCTGCTGCTTTTAAACTGGCAATGCCTTTTTAATTCAATTAAGCCCGGCTTTGTGCCACAACCACCAGCCACGGGGATTGGCAATAGGCAATTACCAGTAATCGAATTTGGGGCGCCTCGAAATGCGTTTGAAACAATAAATTTATCACCGGATGCCGGAGGGTTGCAAACCCTCGTCGTCTGGCTGGGTCGTCCCCGAACTAATTGGTAAGAAAAAAACAGAAAGCTCTTTGTTTTGGGGGGAATGCAAAATGCAAATCGAGTGTTTCGAGTTGGGACATTAAAGTTAGTCGCGGCTTAGGTGGCTTAGGGGGCTTAATCGTAAGCCCAACTTTCACTTAACCGCAGATGTCGGAAGAGCCGAAGAAGCCCTTCAAGAGCATCCCCCGTCCATATTAATGCCTAATTAAATGCAAGTCTCTTTCTTTTCGAGGGTGGAAAATGGCAGAGCAATTCATTTGCATTTTACAGCAGATCTGGACACTCCGTCCTGACAATGACAAGCGGATGTATTTCATCTCAGGAGAGCAGGACTCGTCCTTTATTCCGTGTAAATATTTCATGACTGCTGGAAAACAATTCGCGACCGTCTCTCAGCTGTTGCACTCGCTGAATAAATTATCAGCTGTCATTAAGGCTTCTCCGGTGCAACTCCTTTTGGCAAAGTTGCCGGTGCCTTCATTTGTCACCCGACTGCGTTTGACAATTAAAAATTGTCCAACTCGTCGAGGATTGCTTGGAATTACAGTCGAACTCTGAGTGAGTCAAAGGTGTTGAATGCACCAGCCAAGGTGGTGCTCACAAAAGGGTAACGCCACTGCCTCCCTCCAGAAACGGGGATAAAAAACAAAAGTCCCTGCCGTGCTTCCTTTGAGTTAAATCATTCGAGGGCCGGTAGCCCCGTTCTTTATTTGCAGTCGACAAAATTAAAACGAAACTGGTAAAATTTGTAAAACTTTACAACTCTCTGACCATCGGCTGGTTGTCGACCCAGTCGAATGGCGGGGGCTCCACCTCCGCAACTGGCGCAATCGGTGGATCTTGGATCTTTAGGTCCGGGTTCAATGAATCGTTCATGATGCGCACATACTTGAGGGCTGTGAGAAGCTCCGACATGGGCAGCTGCTTCTCCTCAATCAAGGCCATTGCCTGATTGGTCTCATCCTCAGTATAAACCTAGCAATGAGATTAAGTCAACTAACTATAGCATTGTTCGCCGCACTAACCTCTTCATCCTCAAGAGAAGCCATTACTTTTCTATAGCTCTATAGATTTTCTTGAGAATTATCAAAAAATTGTTTGTAACCAGCTTATTTGGTGTGGTGATTAGTCTGATAAACTTTGGCTGGCACACTTAGTGCCATAGAACTAAAATTCGTAAAAATGATTGCTGCATTGACGAAAACATCACAGCATGCGGTCGAAACTGACCCATCAACACTTTGGCCTGGCTTTTAATATGGTCAGGGAATGGGCTGGGCCATTTCGAGCTGCCCAGCAGAACCGAAATGAACCGCATTTTGCATTTCAGTTTACTCGGTTAACCGCTTTTATAGCGGATTTAGCACATTTCAGCCTTGGCCAATAGTCAAGAATACAGTGGAGGATTTAATAGCTTTTGCGAAAGGATATATATATATATATATATATAATATATATTTTGAAAAATTAACTAAATAAAAAGAAATGTCTTATCAAAAGCCATAACAAATGGTATTAAATATTATGAGTTTTTAATGATTTGCGAATTAAAAACCCTTTTGCTCCACTGTGTCTGAATGGAGAAAAGCAAAAACTGGTCCAGCTGCCTAAAACATGCCAAAATGTTTGAATCGAACAATCAACGCACAGAGGGAGAGAACCATGGGGTGCATGTGGCATCAAAATTCTGGAGCAGAGTGGGTGGCATCGGTCATATCGTGTGGTTGCGTGCAGTTGCCGTTTTCTCATCGCCACTGGTTTCCAGCCACGCCCACCCATATGTCAATGGGGCATGCATTTCATTCAAAATTCTAGTTGTTTAATCCTCACAGAACCCGACTCGACTGACATTGTTTGACCCTCGGGCGGGTGGTGGTTCTTATTAGGGGGAGTGGAGTGAAATGGTGGTGCGGGCGGTTTCTTTGTTATGGCCAATGAGCTTTGGGGTCTGACCCTTATAATTTCAAGTGCAAATTTTGGCACTTGCATTTTTTAGCCGCAATGGGTTAAACATAACCCAAAATATTTAAAATACTTTAATGGAAGGACTTGGTTGTTAACATTTTTTAACCCTTGGCACGAGTCAAAGAGATAAAATTCAGCGCTTGATAGAAACTTCAAGCAGAGATAGGAGAATGGGCTAGATTTTTTGGAATGAGTGGAGCGGCAGCAAATAGAATTGCACGAGGACACAATACAAAAGGCAAACAAAATTATGTTTAAGGTTATATGCCATGCATAAGTAAATAAGGCAGACGGAGTGGCAGATCGGGTCAGGCGAGCGGAAACGGAAGCTCGAGTAGCAAAAGAAAGTGTCTAACTGGCTGCGCATCTCCATATCTGTGAGTGGTATGTGGGTGTGTGAGTTCTGCAAGTTCCCCTACAGCCACTTCCGACAATTTGCAAAACAAAACACTCGTACATACAGATAGACAGGCCAACCGTAGGCTACTACTGCCAAGACGAAGAGTACACTCCCACAAAAAATGATTGTTAAAAAAAATTGACAAAGATTTTTGCTAAAAAATCCATATAAGTTTACTTTTATATATTATTTTATTTAATTAACAAATTAACTTTTAAAGTTTGTAGTTTAAAGTATCAAGTCACCACCTTTTCTTGCCGTGTAATTCCGATTGCACACGCGTCGGTCGAGATAAAACATTTGTATGCGCTGATAAGAACGCATCCACTTACTTTTGGTCGCACATGACCTGAATTTGCCATCAGGAGGGGATAGGAGGCAGCGGAAGCAGGACCAGGAGCTGGAGCCCAGACAAAAAACTTGAACTTGCTCATGGACTCTGAAAGGCAAATGAAGAAATTTAAATTTTATACCAGCCAGGCAATCATTTGGAAATTGTACACATTTTTGTTACCCTATAATTCAATTATTTGGATATATTTAAGATATTAAATTTTAGTCTCATTAATGGTTAAATTTTTCTATTCTAGACATATGCTATACTTGCTTTCAAGTAAGTACCAAAATACCCAAACACTAAACACACCCATTTTCCTACTAGACCCCTTAGTATCTGTCTGTGGAAAGTAACATTCCATTTTTTCGCTTCTTTTTTCCAAAGTTCCAGTTCAGTTACACGAATTTTTGAACGGAAATACGAAAATGAAAGATTCGTATCTGGTAAAAGTTGGAGGGCGAGATTGATGTGTGCACGGGATGTTGGCCCCAAAAAAAGGAAAAGGAAAGTAGACGAGTATCGAACCGCCTGCAGCTCGTGTGTTTTAGATGACCTCCTGCTCTTTCCATTGGGGGTGCTTTCCTTATGCGAAAATAGGATTTTCCGGCAAATTTTTTGGTGAAAGGCTCTGTAATGGGTGAAATGGGGCAGGCTGAGTGAGTGTTTTCGGCTCGTTTTGTTTGTTTGACACTTGCGTGGTTACTGACTGTCCATATTATGTGACATACTATCCAAAAGAGAGAAGGAATTTAGAATCTAGAGTCGGAATTGTACTTTATAGTTTCTAAAAAATTATTGCAAACGCAATCCAATTATTAGGAAACTTAAGCCTCCTAATATACATGTGAACATCAAAGCAATAAATCATATGTTATCAATACTTTGGAGTTCAAAACCATTTGAACTTTAAGAGGCTTATTTCTCTGTTAGCTTGATTTTCCCTGGGAATTATCGATGGTAATTAGCCATGTCAACAAAATGGCAAAGAATTATTCAATTCTGGCTGTGAATGTGTCAGCTGGCGGAATTGAAATTAATATTTCAGGGCGTCTCAAGTAATAAGCCAAGAGGACCGAGTATCGTTTAACACTTCATTAATAGCCATTCCGGCAACTTGCAGACAATTAAAGACAACTTGAGCACCATGGAGTGGGTGGCACTTAACACATTTCCAATGTTCATTGACCGGCAAATGAAATAAAAATTGCAAACATCTTCAACTTTGCCAGCGAATGCTTCATTTAACAGTGCCAACACAACAACAACAGCAACAAAATCACCTAAATAGACAGCCATTTGCTGGAAGGGCAAGGACGAGGGCGAAAGGACCCTCCACACCAGGGCAATAGACAAAGTTCCCAGGCCACAAATTACACTTTGGTTTGGCAGCATAAAATGGCGTAAAAATTGCAGCTGTTTCTGCCACTCGAAAGCGAACAAAATTATTGAATGTCCTTGCCTCCTGTCTGCGAGTTCCAGAAGACCAGACCATTCCCATTTACACTTTCGCACTTTTCTGGAAAACAATTAAAAAGAAAGAAGTATATATTTTCTTTTAAAAGAACTATATACTTTCTATAATTTTAATTGCAAACTTAATAAGCTTTTTTTTACTAATTGTTCACCATTGAAACTAAAAATGGGAACATCTTAGGCATTTAGAGTCCTTTGTGGTCCTTTTGCCTGGTCTCTGTCTGGTTCTGTGTATTTTTTATGATGCTTGAAAATAAATAAACACTCAATACCAATACCAAAGAGCAGACAGAGCCAACTTTCAGGCGCAGACACCAGGGAGGCGTGGTCGCAGAGCTTGGCATGGGGGCGGGGATGGTTCTGGGAAAGGGAAGAAGAAAGGGCCGAAGGAGCATCGCGCACATTCAATAAATCTTCAACAGTGAATAGTCACTCGAGACGAAATCGCAGGAGGCGGGGACTGCGATGCTCCACAGAGCTATAGGGACTCGCACGCCTTTCGTTTTCACTTCCAGCTGCTCCCGACCCTGTAATGGCCGCAGCCATGAGCTGTTGGATAATAATAATGATGATGCCAGCGTCGTGGTATCCTGGAGTACTGGTGTCCTGGCACAGGACGTGTTCGGGAGAAAGGCGGGAAGAGTGTGTGAAAAAGCGCAGCTTGCACGTATGAGCGCAGGACTTAAGCCTCTAATAGCCTCATATTTTGCACTCCAATACAGAAACCCAACAAGGATGAGCTCCCCGCCCCAAGATCAAGACCAAGGCCAAGGATATAAACGCCGAAATGGGAAACAGGGAGCTTTAGTTTCGGTCAACCATTTATTTTCAGGAGTAAAAAGTTTTGTAAACAAAATTCAAATGCAGTTCAAACCAATTTTTTTGTTAAGTAAGCAGTACCCGATTCAAAAGACAACAAAATAGAAACGGATGCATGGAAAACGTAAATCAAAAGGGAGAAAAGCTTTCGGAATGCTCCGCTCCGAGCAAATATTCAATCTATAATGGCATTTACAGGACTAGGAACAGGATATGTAATATCCCTTTGGGGTTTATAAACAGCTCTCCGTTTTGTTAGCGGCAAGGTCCTTCTATTTTCAAATAAATACGGCGTAGCCTTTCGGAGCCCAGTACCCATAAATCTCAACAACTTCCGCTGTCTGGGAAGCTATGGACTTACTATTGAAATTTATGCACATCGGAGGGTCTGGTCCACAGAGAATTCTAATTCTATTTGTTTTATTTACGGATGCAGGATGAGGTGAAGCTGTCGAAGATCCTTTTTTGGCAAAATTGCGGAACTAAGTAACCAGTAGATTAAATGGCATTTACCAGATTGTGCGAATTAATTACGTTTCTTGACCATTCAGTCTAAATGGCACCCACTTCTGGCTTCCTTTTGAGCTGTTTGAGAGGCACGGTCTTCCTGCTACAATCATAATTTCTAAATCTTAAGCAGCTCTATAAAACTCGAGCGGTGGCACAACCCCAAGTGGAGACTTTCACTTGGCGCGCTTGCAACCAAAACGAGGCCGCGGCAGAACTTCGCGTGGCAATTTAAAAATTAAGGCATGACGATGCAAGGGGAGACGGAAAAACACTTTAACTAAAATTAGAAAAACGCAAACAAGATGGGGGCAAAAACGTTCAAGATTTTCACCCTCCTGGCTATAATCAGCGCTGGCAAAAAAACAAGAGCAACCAGGCAGCTGAAGTGGCAACATGCAGCGGCAACTGCAACGGCAACACAGCACTATAATGAAGCTATCAACCGTAAGATGGCGCTTAGGCACGCAATCATACTTTGGATCCTTAGAGACCCGCAGAAAGGAGCTCCACATATGTGCCAGAAAGGGTGTTCCACGAAACTGATTCGCTTCTACTAGTTAGGGTGTACCTACGGAACACCTTAGGAATAGCAAGAGAACAAAACAAATAAATAATTAGTAAAAAAATAATAGAGAATTATCAACACTGATTAAGACAACAGGAAATATGTTGATATTCTCAGAACACCTTCTCTGAGCACTGGGTCAACTTGCCTGCATCATGTATGTAACTTTTGCATTTCGACATCAGCACAGGAAACTCTGGCACACGCGGCGTATGCTTAATATTTTCGCCGCATCCTATGCGCTTATTCATTTTTGACGACGCTTTGACGTCGACCGTACATTGACCGTTGGGGATTCGCTTGTTTGATATCAAATAGCACTGTCCTGGGTCCTGGGCACTGTCATTTTGCCGGCGGCACGGTATACCCCGTGGTGATGACCTAAATTTCCTGGTTTATGAAAAATATATGTGCGCTGCACCAAATGTGTCCCTCTGCTACATGCATATAGAACAGAAAACTTAAAGAAAACGTTTCTTATACTCAAATTTGTATGGTGAACCGGTAGAACATTCATTTTCCAAAAGCCTCAAAAATTAAACTTTTGTTTAAATCTTCATTAAATTAAATAATAATTGTTGTACACTGTTAAGTTGTCAATATATATAAAAATAATATGTATATAATCTTATAATATGTTCTATTTACTATAACGATAAGAATATTTATAAGAACCAAAAAACCAACATCTAAAAACATTTTTAAATTGAAATCATCTTTGTGACCTATAGGTCAAGGTAATGGTGCCACATTTTTTTGAAGTGATTTCTAAAAACATGTATCAGTATAGACTTTGTACATATATTTCTAGTAAAAAATTTGTTCATATATTTAAATAAATTGTTTGAGTAGATAAGAAAACAGTATAAATTTGGATGCTTATTTTCTAAAAAATCAGAGTACGTTGGACAGAATTCGAATCCAAAAGCACAAAATGAAAAAGTATATTCTACTTTTGCTCCATCTGAGTATTATCCTTGCTTCCCTAGCTGAAGTGCAAGCTGATTCGGTTAGTTTCAGAATTGTGTTTATGTATTTTAATTTAATTTTAATATTACTCATTAAATTTTAAATCAACAGCTACAGCAGGAAGATTTCGATAGCTTCAAGGACGAAATATCGAGGAAGTTGGAGTTGATGGAAAGGAAGATAGACGCATTGACGCACCGTCCTCAAGGACCACCAGGATTCCCAGGTCTTCCAGGACGACCGGGTCAAAAGGGTGAACCTGGAACTCCAGGACTTGATGGGATTATTGGTCGACCAGGGGTCCCAGGACAAAAAGGATATGATGGGGAACAAGGGCCTCAAGGGCCTCCCGGTCCTCCTGGGAATCCTGGATATATCTCATTTAATGGAAATTAATATTTTGATAAACTGCCTTTATTTTTCTATATTTTCATATTTTTTTCACTTAACTGATAAATAAATTGTGCCTAATGCAATATAATATATGTATATGTTTTTGAAATTTTTACAAATGCTTATTTTAAAGATCTTCGAAAAAAATTTAAACTTTTAAGTCATCGAAATGGTGAGTGGTGCCATATAAATGATTACTGATTATGAAAAATGATTACAAATTTGTATGTGTTTAACATATTTGTATGCGTCTTTGTATATATACTTACTAATTGTACAAATATAAGTTGTATAGGAGATAAGAAAATCATATAAATTCGCCTACAGTCGTTCTATAGAAATCAGTGTACGCTGTATTGAATTCGAGTGAAGACGATCCCAGACCACAATATGAAAAAATATTTTCTTCGGTTGCTGCTGTTGGGCATTTTCCTTACTACCACAGTTAAAGTGGACGCCAATTCCGTAAGTTTTGAAGAAGTCCTTTTTTTTTAATATTAGCTATTAAAATCCAAATCAGCAGGCACTGGAAGAAGATTTTACTAACTTTAGGGACGAAATTACGAGAAAGGTGGAGTTAATGGAGAAAAAGTTAAACGACTTGATGTACCGTTTGTTAATTACATTACCAAGTCCTCAAGGACCTCCAGGATTACCAGGTTCTAAAGGAGAACAAGGACTTCCAGGTCCATATGGGAACCCCGGTTTGGACGGATTTCCTGGAATTCAAGGAGAAAAGGGTGATGAGGGGCGTGAGGGGCTGCCAGGGAGTCCTTGTAGATATTAAAATTGGACGTTACGAGAAATAAACAAGAAGAAAGAATACATGAACAGATTCGAAAATTTAGTACGGTTAGTTGAGGCCGAATACCTTAATAGATCCCGTAATTAATAGAGCGCCGAGACTACTGGAGTACCGTATTTTAATTTTTTTTTAAATGAAACATACTTGCAATTCTCTTTGAAGAAAATTTTTTTTTTACAATTTTTTAGAATATCATGCTTTTTGAATAGTTTTTAATTGCAAAGGCGTTGTAATAAATTTTGTGTAAATAAATGTTTTTTTTGTTGTTTGGTATTTAACCTTAATTAAACTATCCTATGTTAATCTATGAATATAAAGCTTATAAAAAAAAATGTTTTTTTTAACTTTATAATGTGAATCAACAGGCACTGGAAGAAGATATTTATAACTTTAAGGACGAAATAACAAGAAAATTGGAGATTTTGGATACAAAATTGAACGATTTGATGTACCGTATTTTAATTACATTACCCAGTCCTCAGGGTCCGGCGGGAGTACCAGGTCCTAAAGGAGAAAAAGGTGAAATAGGTTTATACGGGTATGAAGGACGGCCGGGACATCATGGATTAAAGGGCATAAAAGGAGAAAAAGGAATGCAAGGGTTACCAGGGCGTCCAGGATTTTAAACTATCTTGTTTCCTGAACGTATACGATGCTAGATTCAAGTACTCTTTGGAGCCCCAAGACTTTCGCGGAACACTATTTCAAAATGTACTCCACTTCGTAATGGAAATAATTGTTACGCTTGTGTACAAATAAAATTGTGTTCACATCCAACCTTAAATTAACTCTTTTACTTGGCTTGAAAATAAAATATTTTTCCATACCTTTAAATCAAGAAACCAAAGAAACCGTAAAAAAATTTGAATAATGTTAAATTTCAGAAACGCAGTAACTAAAATTGGAGGGCATATTACACGTAACAAACGACAAAAGATGAGGTTTTTTTGTGCTGGACAACATCTCTGGAAAGGTGTCAAAAGGCCACCCAAGGTCCAAACCTTGGAAAGGTGACAAAACATTTGAGTTTTGTGCGTTATCCTCCGACACCGTCGCATGTTCTCGGAAATGGTAATAAAATTTTCACTCCATGATAGATTTTAGCATTGTCCATTTTAGTGTGGATGATACCTCGAACTGGTATCATCCCCGTCAGTTTGTCTGTCTATCCGTGAACTCGGATGTTGCTGTGAGTCATATTAAAAAGTAACGAGCAAAATATTATGAAGCCAGACAAAAGGCATTTCCGGCGGCTATGGCAGAGACCTCTTCCTATATTGGATTCACACGATGCAATGTTTTGTGAGGGATGCCAGCCAGCTTAACTCTTGTTCATTGCCTGTTGTTGTTTGACTGGCCAACAGAGCTCCAGCGCCACCACCATTACTACCGCCATCATCGCACCCTGCTCCACCCAGTCCCGGAATGCCCCCCATATTATATTGTGTTTTCGGACCCAGACAAGTCTGCATTGCTGCATGTACTATACAGTGTACAGACCAAAGCCTGTGTCTCGTTTCCGAGGCTATCTCCTCCCCAGCCCCAGGCGGAACACAGTCTCACCCGGCATTATTAATAACCATAACTCAAATCTATTGCCACTTTACTGGTCATTGATTCTGTTTATGGCCCTGATTTCGTCAGTTTTCTTTTTGTGGGCCGGGGGCAGGCTATTTTCAAAAGTTTTGATTTGATCGTAAAACAAGGGTTTTGGGTACAAGCATAGAATATTTGTATTCTAAAGATAGTATTAGAGCATTGGATTACGTTAGTTTTAACAAGAAAGGAAAGCTAACTTCGGGCGGAGCCGAAGTTTATATACCCTTGCAGTTAAAACCGGATATATATCGCAAACATCGGATATAGTTGGCCGATCCTTATGGGAATAGGAATATATACTCCAATTTGTTACAATACAAAATCTAAAAAAAGTCCCAAACTTCTATCTTCAAAAATACGAAAGTTGATATTTCTACCAAATACCATTTCCGATCGTTCAGTTATATGGCAGCTATGGGATATAGTCGGCCGATCCTAATGAAATTTGGTAGGTCGGATCAACTGACCAAAAATAGAGTCTGTCTATTCCAGCTTTCTATCTTTAAAAACACGAAAGTTGGGTCATTTCCGATCGTTCAGTTATATGGCAGCTATAGGATATAGTCGGCCGATCCTTATGAAATTTGGCATGTCGTATTATTTTGCCAAAAATAGCTCTCACCTAAAACTCTCTAACTTTAAAATTACCAAAGTTATACCATTTCCGATCAATCAGTTATATGGCAGCTATAGGATATAGTCGGCCGATCCGGGCCGTTCCGACTTATATACTGCGTGCAAAGGAAAGAAGGGTGTATGCAAAGTTTCAAGACGATAGCTTTAAAACTGAGAGACTAGTTTGCGTAGAAACAGACAGACGGACAGACGGACAGACAGACAGACGGACAGACGGACAGACGGACATGCTCATATCAACTCAGGAGGTGATCCTGATCAAGAATATATATACTTTATAGGGTCGGAGATGTCTCCTTCACTGCGTTGCACACTTTTGGACAAAATTATAATACCCTCTGCAAGGGTATAAAAATGTATATTGATCTTCTAAATAAAACCCCTCCTAGGATGGAATTTTTTTTTAACTTCCTGGATAGCTAAAAGTGATTGTGTTATCGTTTCGGAGCTATAGTCCTATTCTATGACATCAAACTGAACTCATAGTATTTTTTCCTGCTTGTCCTTTTGACCAATTCTCCTTATCATTCAAAGCTGGCACTTTTGCGACATCCTAGAACCGCCAACGACAGCGCCAACTGGTCCTTTGCGGCAAGTTTTAATTGTGCTCATATCTCAAGAAGTCTTCTGGATCGCTTGGCTGATTTTGGCTTGTGGCAAAGTTTGCATTTGGCCATTTGTGTGTGGGCCAAACTTTTTCGGGCCCACCCACACACACACTCACTCACTCACTCATATACACAGCGCAAATTGCTCAACAATCCATGTTGCTATTTTACATCACTTGGAATTTCTTTCGGACATTCGCTTCTCCACTTGGCTGCTGTCTTTGGGCCGGAGCACTCTCTATGGATGTTGACTTTTGGTTTGGCAAAGTGGAGCAGAGCTAGCTGGGCGTATAATTTCAATGCCCACTGTCGTAAATAGCCGAGGCGAACAGAGGGTGCTGCGAACGAAGGGTATTTTCTTAATTTTCTTGCACTTCCTGTAGCTCGACCAAAGTTTTTCCAGCTCTGCCGTCTAGAATCATCATCAGTAGCAGTGGCAGTAGCAGCACCAGCAGCAGCTTTTCCGTTTGTCAGATGTCAGGGAGCGGAGGGGCAGGCAACTCCGACATTAAAGTATTATGCAAGCGTATTAATGCACTCAACGGACTTGGACCCGGACTCGGACCATCTCGGAGTGCAGTGATAAGCTGCGAGTCAGGATGCTGACGGTCTGGGAAAAGTGCAGATCTCACAGAGTGCGACGCGGTCCGGGAAAATCTATTCCCCAGGCAAAGTTTTCCACCTCCATTAGCTGTCTTGCCCCAACCAAAACTATGGCCCCTGGTATTTTCTATATTTCGGCTAATCCACTAATGGAATACATTGCATTAAGTTGCTGAACAATTGGAAAATTTAAAACACGAGCTTAGGCATTGGAACATCAATGAAAACCCTTTATCGAGCCCCTTACTCATTGGAGCCTCCACCTAATTCAATTAGGCACAAGTCCTTGGGGAACAACCGACACATGTCCGGGATCACGTGGCTGTCAGGACGAAGATTTCTGTGGATGGGGTTGTGTTGTGTTTAGTAGCGATGTCTTGTCAACTGTCACACTAAATGATGCCGCCAGCCCCCTAGGAAAGGCGTTCTTGAATTCGACGAGCATTGGGCTTTCAATTTCGCACTTCCATCAAATTGGTTCAATAAACTCTATCAAAAGTGTCAAATCATTCCTTTAGTTTTAATATATTTATGCAAATACCTTGGAGTGGGCAGGAGAGTCACACCTGCGACTGAAGCTTGGCGACACCTGAGACTGACAGGATAAAAAAAAGGAAATCTGGATAAAGAACCCAAATAGAATGTATAAGTTTGTGCGTAAGAAGACATAAGGTGAAGGTATTAATTAGTCTATAAAGTGCTTAGTACAATTTCACTAGCCAATAGTTTAGCTTTTCGAGTAAATGTGCCAATTATGAATGTATATTTGTTAAGAATTGCCTAATGAACTTTGAACTCTTGTTCAAAGGGTCATTTATTTCACGCTTGTATTCATCTTGGGTCGAATACATCCCCAGGCCTGTCCACTTGATACACTTTTATGGATGAAAAATTCGGACAGGTCGGGAGAAGCTCTCTTATTCATTCCTTGATTCGGTTTTTCATTCATCAATCAGCGTACGCGACACAGCTTGAAAAATGTCAGCGAGGAAAGTGTCAAAGTGAGGACATCCTGTTCTTTGTACCGATTTGGCTGCTACCCTGGAAAAATCAACAAGAACATACTGTTTTTACAGACGGGACCAACTCTCACTTGATTGAAAACTCTTTTTTTTCCGGCAGGCCCCTCAATAGGTTGGTCCTTTGGGGGGCGTTGTGAAAATTGACAAGTCACTTTTTAGCATTTTTCGTGAAGCGTAAAGCAATCAATATTGATTGCATAATGAATGACAATCTGAGGTGGTCCTGGCACTTGTCCATGATTCTTTTCATAGAAATTTATTATATATGTTTAGGGTAATTTTTAATTGTACCTTGTTTTCTGAGGCACTATAGGGTTTAATTTTCAGAAACAATGTCAGAAGAGTTTCAGAGCCGGTGAAGATGATTCAATTGGCATTCCCATTGCCAAGTTCGAGGACGGGGCCAGACGGTGATCCGATCCGGATGCTCTTGCCCGTGCAATGGCGTTCATGCGAATGTCCGCTGAGCGGAGCGCCAAGCACCAAGGACGAACGACGAAGAATGGTCAGATGTCCAGTCATCCAACTCAGCCGCACAATGACCACCACTTGGCTGGTCGCTGTCAGGGCCAACAATAGTGGCTGTTATCCTTGTACCGACCGGGTCCTGCCATCCATGGATTCCTCCCCCTGCCGAAGCCAGTGTTTTTGTTAACTTTTAGTGCTCAGTTCGCTGGATCTTTTGGTGGACGTGTGCGCCGTTTTTGGCCCAAACTATATTCTTTTTCTTTATTTTTCGGCAGCTTCATTCCCAACCTCTTGGTTGTATTTTGTTGCAGTTTGTTTTGTGCTTTGTTGGCTGCCATTGCGCCATTTTAGCCGTGATGTTACCTGCTACCATTTTTGGCTATACCCTAGAATGGAGAATGTGGCACATAGACGTAATGTGATTAATATTTACAAAAGCTACGAAAAAAAAAGTTTTAAAGAAATTTTTGTTATAACAATTTTTGTTATTTTAAATAATTATAAAAAGAAAAGACGAAATTTTTCAAGCTGTAACATTGTGAAGAGTATCTCTCAGGCCTATAGAACCCAGAATTCTATCCTAGTTTCTTTTTGCCATTGTTGTTCAGAGTGTATATGTCACTCGGCAGCATCGAGTTCCATGTGCGCGTCGAAGTCTGTGTTTCGGTGTTTGTGCTATTTTTTAAATTGAACATATTTCCGTTTGAAATATACTTTTGCCAGGTCTTTGGTACCCATTCCCCTACCCACTCCGCCCCGTCAATTTCTCTCTATCAACGGGGTATTCATTTCCTGTTTGTTAGGGCCGGGACTCGAAAATCTCTGGAGCGAACGAGCCAGAAGCTGAAGTATCCTTGTGCCTTACTGGGCTGGATTCTTTAAACAGAAGCATTTGTTGACACAATTCGAAGACTATTAGTTGGATATTATTCAGCAAATCGTTTAAAGTATTCAAACAAAAGCCAGAAACAAATACGGCAAATTGCTTTATGCATGTTTAAAATCAATTAATTAAGCAAAACTCGTTTGATTCACCTGGCAGTGTCCTTTTTTTTTTGGTATTTGCCTAGCAAAGCTCGGTTTTGACCCGGCAAGTATGCGAGCAAATAAAGCAATTTCAATTTAATGAATCTCAGATTCCCTTTGTTGTCCATCATTATTATTTTATTATTATTCAGCGATGCACTGTTGCGTCCGGCACAAAGACACTGCCAGTCAGCCATCAAACTATTTGAGCGAAATCAATTTTATTAACTTTTATTTAAATTTTTCATTGGGTTCAGCCAATTAAACACGATGGCTTTCCACACATAGCTCTGAATCAATGTTTTTTCGACCAACTCGAGTGATAATAGACAGGTCCAGGTCTTTACAGAAAAAGTTATGGGAAAATTCTGTAATAGTCATACACATTTTCATTAACTTTTTTCAAAAGGACAAGGTAAATGTTTAATTAAAAATTAATTCGCAGCCTAAAAGATATATTAAACAAAGATAGGATATTGTTTTTGATGAAATATAATTTCAAGACTAAAGCATAAGCTCTATAATTCATTTACAGGACTTTATTTTTGAAAAACCATTCATTTTTATGGTCACAGAGTCAGCGTTTTCGATACAACCTATACTCGTACACGTACGCATATTTTTTGCCAAACTATTTTTTCAAGCCGCCTCCTTTCCACATAAAATAAATATTTTAACAAGTGTTATTTTAATTGCGTGCAACTGCAACGTGTCCAACATTTCAACGCACTGTCCCCACGCCACCTGCCACATGCCACACGCCCCCTGCTGTTATTTACTCTCGACTGTTGCTGTAATGCATACATGGCCAGAGCCTAAAGGGTGCTGCCCGAAAGCGGGATACAGTCATGGCACGGACTGTTGCGTGAGGTCGCATAACTTTGAGGCCGGAAAGGCAAACTCGTGGTGGAAAAAGCCGACTGCGAACTGGAAATGGCGCTGAGGTTGAACCATTTTATCTGATTAACGCGCTGGATGCATAAAAATGCCCTCCATTCCGATTTAATTTGCTCTACTGGGGGCCAAGGCGAAGTTTTCACTTTGTCACCTTCCAGCCCGAGAGCCGTTCGCTGCATAAATCAATTCAATTTGTAATAAATTTCAAAACTTTTCATTTTATATTAATTTTGATGCCAGCCAAAGCCTGTCGTCGTCGCCGTAGCATTTTTTTCCTCTGACTTTGCCATTGCTGGGTCTGCCGCAGGAAATCAATTTAATTCTAATAAAATAAGTGGGGAAAAAGTTGTGGCGTCTTCTTTGGCTATATAGTACAGGGAAAATATCAGAATTTCAATAATCTTTTGTTTTGAAAATGTCTTTTGTAAATGGTATTTTTCCAAACCCTTTATTTTTCAAACAACCTTGTTATTTTCTTTATTTATATTATCTTTTATATTTTATACATTTTTCAAGTTTTCTTTCTGTGTATGCAAGACGTTCAGCCTTTCTTGACGTTTTTTAAGTGAAACCAGTGCGTTCCAGTTCTTTAGTTTTTCCTTTGTCCTGCCCTGGTCTTTGCTCTGCCTTTTCTCCAGATCATGCTCCTGACTGCAGCTTAACAAATTGACTTTCTCCGGCCGCGGTTCGTTTTAGATTTCCCTTTATATTTTCACTCCCTTTTTTTATTATGATTATCGGCTGAGTTATTGCTGCGGGCAGGAAGGTCCTTTTATGGCCTGTCTGGACGCATTGTCGTCACTTTATCGCCGATGCACATAAGAAGTTTGAGTGTCTTTTTTTTAATGCTTTTCCGACAAATCATTTAAGCTCTAAATTCAGCGTACCTCAGTATTTATTAGTGGCTGAGGTGGTTGTAATAGATCTGTGAGACATTCTTTTGTTCTTCGATCTGAACGTGGGGAATTCGCCACTTCTTCAACGTCGCCCAGCAATGCAATCAATATGCTCAACAATTTTTGTCATTTGTTAAATTGGAAATGGCCAGCTGCAGGCCATTTGAATAAGGAGAGCAGAGATGCTGGAGCCAGCCAGGGAGTTAAAAAATTCCTTTTGGACATTTTGAGAATTCTCTTTGTCCGATGCCTACCAATTTGCAGTCCTTTCCCCATTTTGTTGATTGGTCGCCTTCAGGCCTTGAGAGCAGTGCGGAACTTTTGTTGATTTTTAATTGCATCGATTTCGCCCAGTACGCCAGCTCGGAAATGAAATAATTTATAACCCGGCCAAAGTCTCCTCTAGCCCCCTTTGAATAACTTTGAAGAGCTCATTTCTCATGGACTGGTCAAATAAAATACACTCTAACTTATTTGTTCAGCTCCTTTGTGTTGCCAGCCGGAATGTATACGATTTATTGGCTATTGTTTTAACCTGAGGACTATTCAATAGAGAGACTTTAAGTATGATTATGATTTAAACCAAATTGCTTGTTTGATGCTTTAATTTTTGTTTTAATTATCCTTCCTCTATATGCCAACGTGTCGTATGTGTAATATAGTTCGGTTTCCGCCCAAGGACTAAATATGGTGAAACAATTGTTTTATAGTCCTAGCCAGAGCCCTTTCACACACACGCTCACGTTTTATTGAAGTGTTTAACTCATGACCAGACATTAACAGCGTCTGGCGTGTCTCTCCTTTATCTACCACAGGGCAATCAAAGCATTGTCCTTTTATAGCTCTACTCCACTCTCCTCACCCGATGCCTGGATGCCAGGATGCGAGTGCAGTGAAAACCGAAAGCATCTTGGGCCATCATCAACGCCAAGTAATTGCCATTGCAGCTCCCACGCTCCTGTACTGGATTTTTTCGGGTTTTTGTGTGTTGTGGCAATTATAGTGCTCCTTCGTTGTCCTTGCCGGCGTGGTTCGAAAAAAAATATCTTCAAGAAGTACTAAATGAATAGAGAAGTTTAAAATTTTTGGATACATTTGGGATCTTGGCAGTAATAATATTTTAGGTTCCATATCACTTGGAACGAAAGAATCTCCTCCTAGGTTTTTCCTCCACCCTCACATCTTGTTCCAGTTCGTCATCTTCACCATCCGAGTCCTTGGCCTGTTGTTTGATTCTTTCGGTATATAAATCGGCGTGCTCCTTGGCAAGCTGGGCATCCCTTTCATTTCCTTTAGCAGCCGCCAGGTCCTTTGCCAGTTGCTCATATTTTTCCTGTTCCCGATAGTTTCCTTGCTATGAATAGAAAATAATATAATTATTCATAAACTGCGGTATTAGATTATTTAAATAAAATAAAGTTTTATTAATTGTGACAAGAGGCTGGATCTGTAAAGAAAATAAAGAAGAGTTAGTTAATCCTGAAAAACTTCAAAGAATTAGAAAAAATATTAAACAATAAAATCTTTAAAAAAATATATATCATAAAACTTAAAAAACATATTCTCACGTCTAAGATCTAAAAAATAGGATTATCTCATCTGCGTCTTTACAACTGAAAATAATATGATTTGTAAAATCTTTGTAAAATCCAGGGCTGACAAGAACGCATATCCTTATAGATACAGAGGGTTATTTTCATTTCATCACTTATTCGCTTGAACTAAGCCCATGGCTTACCTTGCCACCTCTGGCCAGGACGATTTGCGTGGGTGTGCCCTCTTCCTGAGACCCATAGCATTCCTGAGCCCTAGCATCTTCCCACTTCAATTCATTTAACTGTGTTAAATTAAATCACAAATCAAAAATCAATTACAGTTATTACGACGACGACTGGCACTACGACGGCAGTGGCAGTGGCGATGGCGATGGCGAGGATGTCTACGATTTCCAATCTCTAAACGAGACTGCTTTCTACCCCCGAACGGGGTCCTTTGAAAAGGAGGAAGTTCCGGAGCAGCGAGTGGCATGGTGACCTCTATATCCATCTATATCTCTGACTGTGAGTCTGCGGCGCTCCTTGGGCGCACATTTCTGCAATCTGTTCGAGTTGCCTTACTGCCTTTCTGCCATTTGCTGGCTGGCTGGCTGGGCTGGATGTGACTTCTGGCCAAAGCTTCATCAATAATGATGTTATCGGTTACACAGGCAGGCAGATACTCGCACACACAGAGACACAGAAGAGTCCGAGGCACACGCTGCATATTTATTTTAAGTTTTATGGGTCCGGGCCAGGCCAAGGGGTCCGTGATTTCTGGTTCCTGCTGCCAGATGAACTGTAGTTGTTGCCGGAATGGAAATTGTGCAGAAACGGTGGAAACTGGAGGACAGAGGACGGAGGACGAAGGAAGCAATTCCAACTGGTTTTTAATTTCGATTTGATAAGGATTTTAATATTGTTAGCCGACGATGGTGCGTGGTGTGGCAGTGTGGCTGTGGGGCAGGGGCAACATCAAATTAATGTAACGGATGTTGATTGCTCGACGAGCGAAATGTGATTGCAGTTGCGTTGATTGATTTTTTCCTCTTTAGCCAAGTGGAGGAAGTTGGCTTAAAGACTCTATATTTTTATAATAAAGGGTTAAGAAGAGGCAGGTCACTTTAAATTTGTATCGAAAATTTTGAAAGGATGTGTAAACCTTTTTAAAATATAACAGAAAAAAAGACCCTTTACTTCATTTTGAAAATGTTTTCGTTTCATTAATTAATTAAGCTCAACTTGAAGGATCTTTTGCGGGTTTTCTGTGCTACCTCAGTTGTTTTCCTTATTTCGTTCGAGGATGTTTTACCCTTAACCCTTTCAATTCCTCGGATTCCTTCAGTTGAGCTCCAGCTCGACTTGTTTGGGGCCCCACCCTTCCGATGTTAGTCGTTTGCCTTGTCATTTTGTTGGAAATTAATTCCCGTTTATGTACATTCAAGCCAGCTACTGATACTTTTTATTCCGGTGGTTGCAAATTTCATCACGAATCTCTCTGGCCGGAGTGCCGCCTTCCCCCGAAATCACATCCAACCCGAGGGCTTAGCCCAGCATCGTCTGCCCAGAATGTAGCTAGACAGTAACAACTCTTGACTGGATTTTATGAGTTCTGGCTCAACTACAAATGGCAGTCAAAACACTAAAGAATCCCCCCCTCCCAGCGTTTGGGCCACAGAGAGATGAATGTGGGTCCCCAGCAGCTGCTGGCCAATTAGATTGAAAAGTTTCAGGGGCGAGGATGGGGCCCTGGCTGGATAACAATTTACTCGTTCGAGTGGTTGGCTGCTTGATTAATTCTAGAAAAAGAAAACAAAACCGAAACTGCATTGTCATTTGCATATCCAGAGCCCCCGAGTCTGGGACTAAAAGGGGATTTGCTCTGGAGCTCCAATGGGGCACCAGATTTTGTGGTTTTACTTTTCCGCATCATCAAATCGAAGCATGGAAAACATCATGACTGGCGTAATTTACACGCCAATGACTTTCGAATCGACTAAGTACATCCACCCCCTCCAGAACCCACACACATATGCACACGCACTAATATATGTATCCGAATAAGGATATGGCCTGGGTGGCATCTCGGTCTAATCTTATCGGGCATGGCACAGCTCATATAGCCTGGCGAAATCGCTTTAATATTGAAATTGCCAATTTCGATATTCATTAAATGTTGCGATGTTGAAAGAGGGGCCAAGTGGGGAATAGGACGAGGGGCGTGCCAAGGCGACAATGTGGCCCCTGTGCAGGGAAGCGTGCTTATCCTGGCATCGCTCCTGGCCCTAGGACGATGGAGAGATGATGAGGCGGGGGCAATCAAAATCCATAAACATCAATGTCGCTTAGCTGCGAATTCGATGCACTTGGAAAAATAATTATAGGCATTGTAGGAGGAAACATTAGTAGGCTTTGCATAGAAAAGACATTTTATTACACCCACTGAATGTATTTATTTTTGTTTTTTGTTTTACCTTTTTTTTTAAGTGTATTCAAACCAGAAAAAGAAACATGTACAAGCATCTCATTTCCGCTTTCTTCGCCAACCCGAAGCTCTTTGCATTTTCCCACGCATTTTATATTTAATTTCTTATCAAGGCACTTTCTGCATTGCGGTTCATTATAAAGAACCTTAAATATATGACTTAAAGCTTTAAGATCTGGAGGAGCAGCGGCTCGGATATGTATTTATAAATATATATGTGACGGGGCATACATGGATTCATGGCGTTTCGTTTATGCCTTGTGTAAATTTCATCAAAATAAATACAATTTATAGCGCAATAAGCCAATTTATGCCTCATGTTCGTTCCCATCTCACACCACGCACAATTTGCATAAATTTAGCCAGTTGGTGGGGGGAGGAGGCCAGTGGGGCGGTGAGGAGGAAATGTTATATGTGTAAACAGCAAATAAATAATATTTGATTACTCCGAGGCGGGCTGGGAGCGGGGTGGCCATAATTTTGCCCACTGAATTATTGTTTAACTTGCTGTTTAGAATTCTAATGGCTGTGTTCCTTTCTAAGAAAATGTCGTGCCTATCCCTGAATCGCTATTGTTAGCACTTTTAGAATTCTTAAAAAATGTTTAAAAAATCGAGGGTCAAAAAAATAAATAGGTTTTAGTTAGATTTTATAACTGAAACTGTCCCAAGGTCGCAAAATGGCAAAAGAGAAGACAAAATGTAACTAAAGAACAAGAAAATCCGAAAAAAATAGTTGCCCACAGTGCGTATGTGGAATATTTTTTAATTGCTGGACATATGGTCTAGTAATTGCAGTAGCAGTTTAACCCGGGGACTCCAGAGCAAATAAAGGACATGCCAAGAGAAAAAAGAAGGACGATAAAGGAGAGGGAAGATATTGTAAGACACATACTATTCGTTATAGTCTTCCCTTGAAGTTCTACAAAAAACTATACTATGAACTCTATACTTATTATGAGCATTTATTTGATATTCAAAGAATGTTCTATAGTTTTGATTTAAAGAGTAACTTGGTTTAAGTTTTCAGCTGTTGCTGGTGCCATCCTCGAGACCGTGTCCCACTCATAATCCTTTTACTAGAGGCTCCTTTGAGTCTCCCCGTCCCGGTGGCGGCAATAAATTCCGAGGGAACAGCCCCTAGGACTAGGCTCGGTGGAGAGCGTAACAAGCCCTAAGTGAAAAATAGAGAAAAATGACGTCTACACAAGATAAACAACGGCAGCCGAGTGCGAACGAGCGACTGGGCTACATAAAGTAAAACTGTATTTAATTAACCGACATTGCAATTACAAATTCTGTGCAGCGCCGCGAGAATAGAACGGTACAGGACACAGTATGTGTGTATGTTGTGGAAACAAGGGTTAAAGCCAGGACATGGCCGCCACTCCTTTTCACTCCCAGCTCCCAGTTCCCAGCTGAATCAGGATCTGTAGAATAGCAGCTGCTGTTCGGCATACTAAAAAGAAGCCGAATAAAAAAGCAAAGCGTTGCCGGCGACTCGAGCAAAACAATTTCATTTTGTTCACAGCCAGCTGCCTGAACTTATTGCCGGTTGGTTTGGCGGGGTGGGCGGGAAGATGGAGGGGAAGCTGACAGCCGTAAACGTGGCCAGTACCAAAGGACCGTGCACAGTGGTTCTGGTCAGAGCCGCGACTTTAAAGTAATCCATAGAATGTGTTACTAGCCAAAGTAGCTAAGAGAAAAGAATTAAGCATACTTATTAGAAATAATGTATAGTTTTTTAATATTTAGTTTCTAGCCCCCATTTTCCACTGTCCCCACCAATTGGGGCTAACTTCAGCACACAATGCACCAGTTTTCAAGGCGTGCAAACAAAAGCGCAGCAGAAGAAGCAGTAGAAGGAGCAAAGGCAGTAGAAAATGGGAGTGAAAACTGAAGAATGGCAAGCTCTAAGAGTGGAGTGGCGTGAGGGCGTGAGCAAAGCCTTTGTTTATGGCTTCCAGAGTGAACACCTTAAAGAACTGGCTACCTCCGAGATGCCCTGGGAAGCCCTGGGAATGGGTCGGGCCGGGTGGCAAAAGAAAAATTAACGGTAGCCAGTTATCAAGAGGCAGCAGAAGAGCAGCTACCCTGCCATCAGTCCTTATCGGTTTTGTCCTCCGGCAACAGACAGAGTTGTTGCAAAAGGAACATAAACGGTACGGTGCGAAAAGAAGGAACAAACTTGTGCATAACTCAAAAAAGTCTTAATGAATTATGAGTCCAATGTTGCCGGGCTTTTCTCTCGTCTCGTCTCGTCTGATGTCTCGTCTGTCTTCGGTCTTCTGTCCCCAGCCGTCTGACGTCTTCCCTCCTGCCGGTCTGTTGTTCTGTTTCCGACGTCTAAGGGTTGCCAGTGCCAGTGGCCAGGAAGTGGAAAAAGGATTCGAGGATTCCTCTACCCGACTGTGCCAATGATGGTCATGATTACCCCGATTAAGGTAAGCCAGGCTGATGTCTTCATGGTGGTGAGTGATGGCATTGTCTCTGGTTTGAATTTTATTCTAAATTTAAAATAAAGGATGTCTTTCATAAAAATATCTTGACTTGGCTATTCATTCCATTCCATATATCCTTCAAAACCAATTGCTGTTTTTAAGAGTCTAGTTTTAATCGTAAATTGTTAGAATTTTCCCGCTGAACTCTTTTAGTTTCCTCTTTCTGGAGTTTATAAGACCCCCAGTTTATAGTTCCCCCACCATACAAGACATCGAATAACAGTCCATTTATTTTAATTATTATTACTATTATTGCCATGCTGGCCAACTGAACAACAATAAGCGGAACTGGAAAACGTACATGCAACTACAAGAACATAATTTACCAGAGGATGCCACCAGAGGAGTCCGCCATAAACAAAATGCCATTGCATCTAAAATCTAAACAACAGGAATGAATGTTGCCTGGCAACTGAAGCAGCAGCTGGCTGCAGAACAGCTACAGAATGGCAAGAACGAGCAAACAAATAATTTCATGTCACACAATGATGAAAGTTTTGTAATGTTTGATGTTCCTCCAGGAACCTCCGCGATATCTCTGTTGTCTGCAGCTGCAGAAAATTAAGCAATTTTATTTAATAGATACGAGCTCGAGCAGGAGCCGGAGCCGGCAGGCGGAGTGTGAACTGTGCGGAACTGAAACTGGAACTGGAGCACATCCTCGGCGCATTCTGCAGCTCCTGCAATTGCAGGACAATAATTCAACACGTATTTAAATGCATATCCCCCTCGCCCAGCGCCGCCCACTTCCTCTCTTCAACACAACCAACTGTCTTGCAAATGAAAATTTACTGTGCATGTTGCCCATGCCAGGACCAGAAGCCAACGCAGGACCAGGAATATATCCAAAGCCAGAGACCCAGCCAGTATCGGAGACAGAACAAGAAAGACCAAAGGGTAAGGGAAACGAAGTTAAAGGTACCCAGTAATGAGTATGTATTTGAACCAATCATAATAGTTTAGCTTATATTATAATTATAAATAAATTAAAATAGAAAAATTTGAAGACCCTGGAAGTAATACCCTTATATCCATGTACATCCTACAATGCGTCTTTACCCTGCTCAGAAATATTGTCTGAGCCAGTTGTTTGTGTTTGGATGGTGAAAAAGTTTTGGCCAACAACTGGAAACTGAACAACAATTGCCGGCAGAGCGGCCAATCGAAAAGCTAAATCAAAAATGTTTGCCAGCTAGTCCGACTCTCTAAGCAACTAATTTCAGCTTAACCCAGTTTGGCCGCATTTCCACAGCAATTACCGTGCCCGGGAATTGGGTTTTGATCTCTGATTTATGTGACCGGACCGATGACTGGCGCAACAATACAGAATTTTTGTCATTTAATGCAAGTTGGAGATAAATTATTGCAAACAATTCTGTCTGGTGGTCTGGCGGCATGGTGGGCTGGTTGGCTGGCCATTGGGATATTGGTCGGCCTGTCAACGGGGCGGAAATCAGGCAACATCCGCTCCATAAACGGATATCCGGTTTGTTCGCACGTTCACGCTGTGCTGTGTTTCAGGCGATTCGCGAAGGGTACAAAGGACTTCGGTTTTGGTAACTTTCCGACCTCTTGTCTCTCTTCAATGCGGTTCAATGAAGTGTTCAGTTCCACGACTTAAAGTGGATAGAACTCAACAATTATGGAATGAAGTACAATTTTTTCGTCATTTCTTTTAGATGTTCCATATATATTGTCAAGGATATTGCCCCAAAACAAAATCCTTCCCTTGTTTGCACTTGATGCAACAATCTGAGGCAACCCCAGGCCCGACACCCTCGTTCGCCGTTCGTCTAATTCAATTCCATAGCGATTTCCATTAAGCCCAACGTGCTCGAGACGCCCATCCAAGTCGCTATTCATCCATCCATTCGGGATAAGCCCACTTCCCACACTTTCCCTTTTCTTTGGCAAGCCAAATGGCAAACAAGCGCGAATCCCGATCCAGATTGGCGAATATTGAGACGAAACGGCGCAGGACCGGCTGAGTTATTACGCAAATTTACCATCGGAATAGAAGATCGAATATTTCAAGGGCCTGGTAATGACATTTCGACTCCTTGAGCATTCCGAAACGCAACTAACCGAAGCTCTGAGTTGTCAGTCAACGGAATTTTTGAGGTAAGCGTTTGCCGGGAGTGGTAATTGAAGCTGGCATGTGATTTATTAACTCAATAATAGCGCAGATAGCACACCAAAGGCAGCAACACTCCCCTTCGCAATCGCTTTGTACAAGTCCTGTTGTTAATACCAAGAAAAATTGATGCAAATTTTCGCCGAATTCCCTTTCTCACCCCAGACGAAATTCCACTTAAATTCCGCGCATAATTCGATTTGCATTCAAAGAGGGAAAAAGCAAATTTGTATTAATCGAAATGTATTCAACTCGAAGGACATGCCCCGAGCATATGCCCAGGGCCTCGTCTCGATTCTTTTGTGGTTCGTTTTGGTTTCGGGATGTAATTGAAATATGGATGGTCGGATGACTCAGAACATCGTCATTGCCTCAAGGGTTTATCGCCCTTTCCAAGCAACCCCCACAGAACAAGTTTGAGGAATAACCCACTTCTACACTTGGCAAAAATCTTACAGAAGGGTACTACTTGAAAAAATTTGGCCAATAAATAATATAACTGAAGCTTAGGTCCTTCCATTTATATTTTTTTTTTTTGCGGAAAACCTTCAACTATTTATTTTCTGTTTATCGTCCATTTGGAACCTCATAATTTATGGATCTTTCGGGCTTTTGTTTTTCTTTGTCGCATCGAATGGACAATTACGCAATAAGCTTTCGGCTTTCTTAAAGATTTTCGCTCTATTTTGGGTTAATTATTTCTTAATGCCTGTCTGGGAGGCGAAACAGACATTTCCGTTTCCGCTGCCAGTCGCCGCCATCATCAATCTGCGCCACTATAAGTATGGTGACAGCTTCCGTAATGCCTCCCATTTCGTGGGCCATTGTCTAATATTTCAAATGGAAAGGCTTTTAAGTGGCTGTTGGCATTTTCGATTTACGACAGCTAACATGTCCCCACTACCTCAATATTATATTAGGTGCAATAACAACCGTAGTTAAGCACTTCCGAGTACACAAGGCTGGGCGATGCCTGGCCCACTAGAACAATTGGTTTGCATTTCCAACAACAAAGTCTCCACTTGCCTGCACTTGGGCAAACAAATTACAAATAATTACATAGAAAGGAACACTGCACAGTTGTAACCTGCCTCATCCGAGTTGGCCCTTCATCCGAGTTGCAGGTGCAAACTGGCCCACTTTGTTGCATGTGTTGCCAAGTGTTGAGCTTTGTGGCGTGGCTCCCTCATCTGCTGATTATTCTGGGACGACGATTGTTGCTGCGGTTAACTGCAACTGGCCTAGTGCCACATTGGCTAAAAAGGGCTCGGTCAATGTCCCGGGATAGCTTCTGCCCTAACATCCCTCCCCGGCAACTCCTGGCTTCTTAGTTTCATTACTGTTCCAACCTAAGGGACCCCAACTAATCAGGAATGCAATTATAAAGGTCAGGATAGAGGCGTGTGGAATCGACCTGGCTGGAGGGGTTAAATTACTAAAGATATCACGTTCTCAGGCATCCTTTAAATCAAATTCAATGAATTATCAAAAAAAAGCTATAATAACTTACCTAAACTGGACAGCAAATTACCTATTGTATCGGCATTTTGCCAAGCAAAGAAAAACATTCCAAAGAACAGAGTTATCACTGCATCCACGCTCGAAGAGGTTATGATGGCATATATCTGACTGATCTGGGTGAGATAGGTGGCCTGGGCAGCCCACATGGGGGCAGCGGCCACGCCCAGTAGTATGCCAGCCGGCACCAAAGTATAAAATCTAAATAAATCATACAGGATTTGTATAGGATCAGGGCAGTGAGGAAGAATCTTACTTTGAATAAAGTTGCAGGCCGATATAAGGAAGAAAGCAGAACATCCCCAGGACCAGAGTTCCCTTGCAGGTCAGCTGTCGGATCATAAGGGTCGGAAGAACCAGGCAGGACAGTCCCATGCTCAAATAGATGGAGGAGCACGCGATGGTACCCAAGCCTCCTTCAGCATTGAGCGATGACTGCAGGTTGAGGGTGCCCTTGCAAAGAAAAACACGAACAATTAATTGACTTTTTTGGGCTCAAGAGACACCCACCTGGTAAGCCACATACTGCGTCATCATGGCCAGAGAGAGGACAATCACATTTTTCAATATTCGAAACTTTTCGTATCTGCTGACAAAAATTTTATCACGGTCCGGCTCGGTGACTTGGTCTCGACCCACTCGATAATACTTCTTTGGCCTCACCACCACCTCTATTATATCACCTGTGGCAGAGGAACGTCTTCTTTCAATCTCGTGAGGCATCTTCTTGATAAAATTCAATAAAATGAATGTGTATTGACTGGTGTGTCGGGGCAACTTTGTTAAAATGTAAATTACCTCAAAGGAAATAATATTGGATGGGAAAATGTGTTTAACATTTAACCACAACGGGTTTAATGTCCTGTGTGAGCCACATTTCCATTGTCCTTTTGTTTTGCTAGCGTTGTGATGACGGCGTCGTGGCTTTATTTTCCTCATCGTCTCCTTGCTGGGCCATTGTCCGGAATCCGGAATACGGAGTTTGGATTCCCGGGCTCATTGTCGAGTTCTTTGTTTTTGCGCCTCGCGTGTCTAATAAAAGCGCATCGCAATGTGGGTCATTGTACGACTACACAGGCCAGCTTGCCTCATATGGTTTTCCATTTGTCAGCAGCATGAGACCGCTAGTGGCAACAACATCCCAAACAACACCAGCAAATAAAACTCTGCTAATTGCAAAGACACATACATATACATGTGTGAGTCCACACATGGCAGAATCTGCAGTAGGCAGAGTCAGTCGTCTTCTTTGAGATTTCGCGAAAGGGACAAAGCTGTGGAATATGTGTCAGCTATGCAAATCAATATCGTATTCTGAATAATTAATTTCTGGATTAATTTTCAATCAAATATATGCAATATATCCAGTTGTTTTCTCCATCACATATATTTATGCATACTTTTCGGATCGTTGCAACAATAAATTCTGCTCCAGAAGGTATGCCATAAAACTACATCGAAACGAAAAATATTACATGTAGAATTCCAGAAACACCTTGAACTTTATGGGAACCTACACATATATCCTTTTTTGTTGATACCCTTTTAGGTGGTATTAAAATTTAGTTTAAAAGTATACAACTCTTACAAGGAGTCATTTCCGACCCTATAAATATATATCAAATCACCTCCCGTCTGCCACACATTCTTAATTTCTAAAGAATTTATTACCAAATGAATAAAATGTTAAGTTCCCATATAAAAAACATTAACTATTAAACAATTTAAGATTCAAATTTAGAGGGCCCGATTTTTAAAGGGACTTTATAGAAGTGTGAGGACGGCTGTTTTCTAAGTTTCTTAGCATCGCCCACCCCACGCAGGTCCCAGATTAAGTCGGCACCATTTGTCACCTGAAAAAAGTTAAATGTTTAGTTAACAACGTAAATAATAATAAGTATCAAAGTCACTTACGAGCTGTAGTAGGTGGTACGTATATCGGTTTCCATGCTGGTGGATTTGGGGTACGGTAGATTCGCCAAGGACGTTGAGATGATACCATTGCCACCAGGGCAAAAGCCACAACTAAAAACAAATTGAGGTTCTTCATTTTTGATGGTCGCCATCATATCTTGCTTTATATACTCACAGTACTCACAATTTGACATGGATATGGATATTTTATATGGATTTCATAGATTTTCTTCATTGACCATCAACTAGTTACATAAAAGGCTCTATGGAGGTATTTTAATTACATATACCCTGGCAAAAGGTACTGTAAGACCCATATTCGTCCCTAAAAGGATATATATTTTTGATCAGCATAATAATAAAAATTTGATCAGGCAATAAATTAATCCATTTGGTAATAAATCCATGACCGCAAAATAGTCTCTCAGTTTTAATTTTATTTTAAATTCTTCATTAAAATTATTAAACTACGTATTTAACTAAAATAGAATTCAGTTGTTCATTTTTTTTGATAGTGTAATCAAAACTTGTTTATATACTCATGGTATTTCAGACTACCCATATTAATGAATATTTGTCATGGTTATGAATATTTGATCTTCCAATTAGTTACATAAAAGACTATGAAGGTCCTGTATTTTTGTTAGCTGTTAGATATGATAGCGATTCTGCCTAATATTGTATCCAAATTTTTTGAAAATAAAAATAACGTTGGTTTTATAGCTTTAATCGGAAATGGATTTATTAACAAATAAAAAAATTAAAATTTTTATGTATACCAAACTTCAAGCTTTACACAATCATAAGGATTTTTAAATATTTTAGCTTTAAATTTGAAATTCCGATTTTTAGCAGAAGTGAGAGAACGTCTGTTTTCTTAGCATCGCCCACCCCATGCAGGACCCAGATTTAGTCGGCACCATTTGTCACCTTAAAAAAATAAAAATTTTTAGATTGAAAATCTTAATTAACAATAAGTAGCAAGGTCACTTACGAGCCGTAGTAGGTGGGACATAAGGCGGTCTATAAGGCGGTGGTGGTGGTCTATATACTGGACCACACGGAGGAGGACACGGAGGAGGCCTCCAAGGAGGCCAAGGTCGTTGGGATGATACCAATGCCACTAGGGAAAGAGCCACAACTAAAATTAGATTTTTCATTTTTGATTTGTAGTACCATTGACAGGGCGCTTTATATACTCTTCGAATTTTCCGATTATTCACGACTATTAGACATGGTATAAAATCTTTAGTATAGATATTAGAGAGTTGCGTTGGCGTAACGAAAATATTTTTTTAAAGTCACTTTGCGCTAATTTTTGTCGCAGCTAATGTCATTATCATTAAAGCTATACACTGCTTCACAAACTTTCACATCGCAGGAGGGCGAAGCGGAGCGGAAAGTATAGTAAATTGTATCTAAAAGACACATTATTGAGCCAAAAAGAACTTGGAGAACTTGGCACATATGTGGGGAAGAGAGGACTGGGAATTACATGCCACGATAATGAGAGTATAAGTGGGCATGGCGGAAACTTATTTACAAGATAGCCCTTTGTATAGTCCACACGATACCATAAAGTGCATCATATATGCACTTTCTTCTAAAAACACCGGATGTTAAACCCTTGCAGAGGTTATTTCAATTTTGACATGGTTATAAATATTAGGAATTTTATAAGTTTTCTTTATTGAACGAACCTAAACCATTAAGCAATCGTAAGGGCTCTGGATTATGTATTTTTGAAATATTTAAGCTTTATATATGAAGGATGTTTTCTTGGCCTCTTAGCATCGCCCACCCCATGCAGGTCCTAGATTTAGTCGGCACCATTTGTCACCTTAAAAAAATAAAAATTTGTAGATTGCATCTTAAATAACAATAGTAGCAAGGTCACTTACGAGCCGTAGTAGGTGGGACATAAGGTCTCCGAATTTGTGGTGGTGGTCTAAATGGTGGTGGTCTCGGTCCCGGACGATTCCAAGGAGGCCAAGGTCGTTGGGATGATACCAATGCCACTAGGGAAAGAGCCACAACTAAAATTAGATTTTTCATTTTTGATTTGTAGTACCATTGACAGGGTGCTTTATATACTCTTCGAATTTCCGAATATTCACGACTATTAGACATGGTCTAGAATCTTTAGTATAGATATTAGAGAGTTGCGTTGGCCTAACTCAAATACTTTTTGTTAAAGTCACTTTGTGCTTATTTTTGTCTTAGCTTATGTCATTATCATTAAAGCTTTACACTGCTTCACAAACTGTCCCATCAAAAAACATCACATCATTCAAAATTCCATTTAGCTAAATTTTATGTTACAGGATAACGAAATCCTTTTGATTTTCCGGTTACCGAGCCCTAATCCAATTATGCGGAACATGATCCAGATCTGTAATTTATGTAATAACATAACTAACTATCTCATCCCTATCCCCTGAATATAATTGAACCTACAATTTTCGAATTTCTACTAATATAGTGTTCTATGATATAAATTAATTTTACCTTTTTATACCCTCGCAGAGGTTATTTCAATTTTGGTCAAAAGTAACACTGTGAAGAAAAATTTTCGACCCTACAAGGTTAGTAAATAAGCAGTTGGTAAAATCATGTCAGTATTTAAGAATATTTGACATGGTTATGAATATTCGGGATTTTATAAGTTTTCTTTATTAACCGCTTAAATATTTATTATTTAAGCAATCATAAGATTATGTATTTTCGATATATTTGAATATGAAGGATGTTTTCTTGGCCTCTTAGCATCGCCCACCCCATGCAGGTCCCAGATTAAGTCGGCACCATTTGTCACCTTTAAAAAATATAAATGTTTAGATTACATCTTAAATAATAATAAGTAGCAAATTCACTTACGAGCCGTAGTAGGTTGTACATATGGTGGTGGTCTATATGGTGGTGGCCTGTATGGTGGTGGCCTCGGTTGCGGCCACGGACGAAAAGGAGGAGGAGCACCAGGAGGCCAAGGACGTTGGGATGACACCAATGCCACCAGGGCAAAAGCCACAACTAAAATAAGATTGAGGCCCTTTATCTTTGGTCGAAGTCGAGTTTATGTCGAGTTTTATATACTCTTCGAATTTTCTGATTATTCACGAGACATGGTACAGATATTGGGATTCGCTTGAGTACCGATCTAACTATATGGATATTAAAGACTTGCTTTTTTGACTATCCAACTAGTTACATAAATAGTATTTATATAGCTGTTATAGTATAACGGTTTTTGTCCAAACAACAAAAAAAAAAGTTAAGTTGATTTTAGTTTCCAAAAAGTGTGGAGCAATAAATAATGTATTTTTATTTAAAAATTAAATGTATATAATTATAATTAAAATGGCGCTTTTTTACATCTAAATATTATAACTTAACATCTTTGATACCTGTAGGCATCAAGACGGCACAGTCTGTGATTGGTGTGTCCTGCTTAAAAAAAAACATTGTTATTAGAAGTGTTATAAGTGCATTCCAATATTATATAATAAAAAATATTACGGGGAAATGGGGGTGGAGCCGTTCTCGGGTGCCATAATGCCATGGGTGTCATCAACACTGGCACAAAAACAGCGATTTTTAGTATTATAAATAGTAGAATTTTCATTTAAAAACTTTTTATGCCCATAATTTCCATTCATTTTTATAGCTGACTTGGACACGGATTAGATTAAAAAGAATTTCAAGGTCCTCGTGTGATATGATGAACTTTTTTTTTATTAATCAGTTTGATACGCTAACTTATATAATTTTAAGGTCTTTTTTTCACAGTGATTGGATTTTATTTGTAATTATTTAAGAAACCTTACTGAATTTATTTTCCAAGGCATTTTCCATCCCATGCAGGGTTCAGATGGAAACGACATTACTCTTGACTTCTAAAAAAAACATAATATATGTCCCTAGTTTTTATTTTCAAACAAGAAAAGAAGGCTATAGTCAAGTTTTCCCCACTATGTTATACCCGGTACTCATCTCTTCCATAATGTATCTAACCTTTAAAGTTTCAACTTCAACGGTATAGATTCTCAGCAACAAATTTTGGTTGGAAACTTTTGCGCTTGGAAAACATCAGGAACTGGCGCTCCAACCAGATTTCTGTTTTGGGGGCGGTTGTAGACGTGACCAAATTTTGACAAACTTGATCTGCGGGAATATCGCAAGATTTTGAAACAAACTTGAACTGCGTGGGCATTGTAGGAGTCTTCATGCCAAATCCTATAGCCTTTATGCCAATCCATGACCACAATATATCCTTGTAATATACGTGTTCCAGGTAAATTAACATCGACTCAGGAGATAATACTAATTTAAACTACGTTAAAGGTTCGGAGATGTCTCAAAAAATTGAAAATTAAAAGTTCCAAACTTTTGCCATAATATATTACAATACCCTTTTCAAGGGTATAATTATGAGACCTCCATAGAGCCTATTATGTAACTAGTTGAATATTTAAAGAAGCAAATCTATTAAATTCATACAAAATATCCATATCCATGTCAAATAGTCGTAAATAATCAAAACCCGGAAATCTGTGTGTATATAAAGCAAGAAATGATGACAATACCCATTCAAAATGAAGAACCTCAATCTCTTTTTAGTTGTGGCTTTGGCCCTGGTTTCAATGGTGGCATCTCAAGAGGAAACTGGTCGATATTATAATTCATCGGGTTATGTTACAACGGAGCGTAATGGACTCTACTACTTATTATTATTTAAGATGTAATCTAAACATTTCTATTTTTTTAAGGTGACAAGTGGTGCCGACTAAATCTAGGACCTTTTTATGGTGGGATGTGCTAAGAAGCTAAGAAAACTGACGTCCTCTCACTTCTTCCAAATTTCTTCAAAAATCGGGCTTTCAAATTTAAAGCTAAAATATTTAAAAAGCACATAATCCCTATGATTGCTTTAAAGTAGAAGATCGGTATAAATGCAACCTACCATTTTTTTATTTGGTAATAAATCCATGTCCGATTAAAGCTGTAAAACCAACGTAATTTTTATTTTCAAAAAATTGGGATACAAATTTAGACAGAATCGGATGAGAATTGTCAGGATATAGCCATCACCTCGGACCCTATAGGGAAAAATCCCATTTTCAAGGGATCCCATCACGAAAAGTGGACAAAAAACCTTAAAAACATTTTGTCTCAGGATTTTGATGCAGAATTGCGGGGAATCGATCCAGAAATCGTTTAAGGTACTCCGCTTGAGAATCGGATGAGAATTGGGGAAGATATAGCCATCACTTTGGACCTTATAGGGAAAAATCCCATTGTCAAGGGATCTTATCATGAAAAATGGACAAAACAGCTGAAAAATATTTTGAATCAGGATTCTGATGCAAAATGGTGGGGAATCGATCCAGAAATCGTTTAAGGTACTCCGCTTGAGAATCGGATGAGAATTGGCAAAGATATAGCCATTTTTATAGAACCTATAGGGGAAAATCTCATTTTTAAGGGATCCTATAAATCCTAAATTTTTAAGGGAGCCAAATCTTATAGCCTTTATGCCAATTCATGACCACAATATATCCTTGTAATCTACGTGTTCCAGGTAAATTAACAACGACTCAGGAGATAATACTAATTTAAATTACGTTAAAGGTTCGGAGATGTCTCAAAAAATTGAAAATTAAAAGTTCCAAACTTTTGCCATAAATTACAATACCCTTTTCAAGGGTATAATTATGAGACCTCCATAGAGCCTATTATGTAAATAGTTGAATATTTAGAGAAGCAAATCTATTAAATTCATACAAAATATCCAAAAAATTGGGATACAAATTTAGACAGAATCGGATGAGAATTGTCGAAGATATAGCCATCACCTCGGACCCTATAGGGAAAAATCCCATTTTCAAGGGATCCCATCACGAAAAGTGGACAGAAAACCTTAAAAATATTTTGTCTCAGGATTTTGATGCAGAATGGCGGGGAATCGATCCAGAAATCGTTTAAGGTACTCCGCTTGAGAATCGGATGAGAATTGGCAAAGATATAGCCATCACTGTGCACCCTAAAGGGGAATATCTTATTTTCAAGGGATCCCATCGCGAAAAATAGACAAAACATCTGAAAAATATTTTGAATCAGGATTCTGATGCAAAATGGTGGGGAATCGATCCACAAATCGTTTAAGGTACTCCGCTTGAGAATCGGATGAGAATTGGCAAAGATATAGCCATTTTTATAGAACCTATAGGGGAAAATCTCATTTTCAAGGGATCCTATAAATCCTAAATTTTTAAGGGAGCCAAATCCTATAGCCTTTATGCCAATCCATGACCACAATATATCCTTGTAATCTACGTGTTCCAGGTAAATTAACAACGACTCAGGAGATAATACTAATTTAAATTATGTTAAAGGTTCGGAGATGTCTCAAAAAATTGAAAATTAAAAGTTCCAAACTTTTGCCATAAATTACAATACCCTTTTCAAGGGTATAATTATGAGACCTCCATAGAGCCTATTATGTAAATAGTTGAATATTTAGAGAAGCAAATCTATTAAATTCATACAAAATATCCATATCCATGTCAAATAGTCGTAAATAATCAAAACCCGGAACTCTGTGTGTATATAAAGCAAGAAATAATGACAATACCCATTCAAAATGAAGAACCTAAATCTCTTTTTAGTTGTGACTTTGGCCCTGGTTTCAATGGTGGCATCTCAAGAGGAAACTGGTCGATATCTGGTTACATCGGAGCGTAATGGACTCTACTACTTATTATTATTTAAGATTTAATCTAAACATTTCTGTATTTTAAAGGTGACAAGTGGTGCCGACTAAATCTGGGACCTATTTATGGTGGGCGATGCTAAGAAGCTAAAAAAACAGACGTCCTCTCACTTCTGCAAAATTTCTTCAAACATCGGGCTTTCAAATTTAAAGCTAAAATATTTAAAAAGCACATAATCCCTATGATTGCTTAAAAGTTGAAGTTCGGTATGAAAGAAACTATGAAAGAAAGAAAGAATTTTTTTATTTGGTAATAAATCCATGCCCGATTAAAGCTATAAAACCAACATCATTTTTATTTTCAAAAAATTGGCATACAAATTTAGACAGAATTACTATCATATCTAACAGCTAACAAAAATACAGGACCTTCATAGAGTCCTTTATGTAACTAGTTGGACGATCAAATATTCATAACCATGTGATATAGTCGTAAGAATGTGAAGTCTGGAATAATATGAGTATATAAAGTATATAATGACACCATCGGAAAAAATGAACAACTGAATTGTATTTTTAGTGGAAGAAATCGAATGAAGAATGTGTGCAAAGTTTGAAGTCGATAGAACTCAGTAGGTGATCCTGATTAAGAATATTTATCCTTATCATATCAAGCGAACACTTTGCCCCCCTCATTTCCGGTTAGTTCCGAACGTAATTGACAATGGACATCTAATCTGGAAATCTAAATAATATTTTGTCTCAGGATGCACAATGGTGTAAAATCGATCCAGAATCGAGACCGCTTGAGAATCGGAATAGAATAAGCGAAGATATAGCCATCATTGTGGACACTATAGGGGAAAACCCCATTTTCAAGGGATCCCATCACGAAAAATGGACAAAAAATCTGAAAAATATTTTTTCATAGGATGTTGATGCAGAATGGTGGGGAATTCCATTTTCATGAGATCCCATAACAATAAATGGACAATAAATCTAAAAAATATTTTGGCTCACGATATTGATGCAGAATGGTAGGGAATCGATCCTAAAATCATTTACAGTAGTTCGTTTGAGAATTGGATGAGAAAAGCCCATTTTCCCATTTTAGAAATAAAAGCCCCACAAGGGGTTCCCATTTCAGATCTAGATGCGGAATCGATCTAGAAATCGTTTAAGGTACTGCGCTTGAGAATCGGATGAGAATTGGCGAAGATATAGCCATCACTTTGGACCCTATAGGGAAAATCCCATTTTCAAGGGTTCCCATCACAAAAAATGAACAAAAAACCTGAAAAATATTTTGTCTCAGGATTTTGATGCAGAATGGTGGGGAATCGGTCTAGAAATCGTTTAAGGCACTCCGCTTCTGAATCGAATTAGATTTGGGAAAGATATAGCCATCATGGTAGGCCATATTGGGGAAAACACCATGTTAAATGGATCTCGTCACAAAAAAGGACAACAAACCTGAAAAATATTTTGTCTAATGGGAACTTAATGGCCGTTTTCTTTTAAGTTGTATTAATAAAAATTTAAACTAAATATTTTATCTATAACTTAAAATGTAAATTATTTTACTCCCTATTAATAATTATTTACCTTGGAATTATTTTAAACTTCCGGTATTTTTGGCAAGAAATTTGCAATTAAGATCAATTTGTTCCATATCTAATAACCACTTTTACATATATAAAGTCTATAATGTAAATAATCGGTTTAATAATGAAGACTCTAGGATCTCTGGTAGTAGTTGCGATCTCGTTAGTTGCGACTGTGGTTGCCGCTCCTCGGCCAACCGACGGCCCGCCGTGTACGTTTTTTCTGTTGAATAGGTATTGATGACAAATGGTATTATTTAAACACATTACTTTTAATTTTAGTTGAAAAATGGTGTCTACTTGACTTGGGACCAGTATGGGGTGGAAAATGCTAGCATTAAATAATTTCAACAAGGTTTTGTTTAAAAGAGGAAGATGCTAAAAAATCATTGAAAAAACTGTGAACTGCTATAAAGAATATTATTTTTATTTTATTGCATTTAAAAAATACAGATATATGTATGTATATTTTTGCATGCAGCAGGATTGGAAAACTTTTCTTAAAAGTTTCATGAGCAGAATCGAAGAATAAGTTTCCGCCACGCCCACTTATACTCTCATTATCTTGGCATGTAATTCCCAGCCCTCCGTATGTGTGCCAGTTCGGTTTCTTGCGGACAATGGCACAAGTTTCTGTTTCGGCTCGATAAAGTATCTGTTAGATACAATTTACAATATTTTCCGCTCCGCTTCGCCCTCCTGCGAAGTGAAAGTTTTCGCAGCAGAGTATGGCTTTAATGATAATGACTTTAGCTTCGACAAAAAGTAGCGCAAAGTTTAGAATACGCCAACGCAACGCTTTTGGGGATTTTACCCAAAACTCTAAGTGGTTACTAGAACTTTTTCCGCCTCTTTCGCCCAACACGCATCCCCCCAAACAAACGAAATAAAGCGAGTTCGAAGGGTTTGTGGCAGTGTGGGACTATGTACGAGTGTGTTAACTTTTTCTACGTGTCGTCCCGTCAGTTGGTTATATGATAAGAATTGGATGCAATTGGGGGAAGGCTAAGTGGGACAAGGCCATGGTGTGTATAGTTTAGTCAATATCCATAGAGAAATGGCATCTGCATAGTACCTATAGGGCCTAACAAATCGTGTTTCGGCTTCGCCAGTGATTTTATTTTATCACAATCGCGTCAACCACTTCGGACAATGTTGGCGATTTATTGCATCAGCTCCAAGTAACAACTAACAACTAACAACACGGCTAAAGCCGACAGACACTTGGTTACGTTGTAATCATTTGGGTCTCCAGATACCAACAGGCAACAAAAACAATAAACAAGCCTCCTCAGCAGCCCGCAGCTACCAAAAAACCCTATCTGCCGTTTACTGGCCCGCTCTGTTTCTCGTTCTCATCAACGCGACTAAATCTGCACGGAGCCGAAAGTTAGGCGGATGGTTAAACGAGGTTCTGAATTCTTTATTAAATAAAATATTATTTATATATAATATTACTACTTGTATAGCTTCTAATGTAAAGTAAAAGTTTTTTTTATTATTATTAGGTATGGAACCCAACCGTTCTATCATTAGCAATGGATTTGGCTTTGGCTTTTTAAATGCCACTATTGAATTTAAACTGCAAAGATTTGTTTAAAGTGTATCTAAATGTTGCTGTTGGCTTTTTGCTGTTGTCAACTCCTTTGTGGTTGTCGTCCTCGTCATCTCCTCCTCATCAACATCAACCACTTTGGAGCGCGGCTCCAAAGTCTTCCTCCCGAAAGACCCAGGCCGAGATCGGGCCCAGTCCCAGGCAGCTAAGAGTTCAACTCGTGATGTTTAAGTGGTTTAAGCCAAGGTAACGATTTCCTCATTGGTCTACAATTCTCCAGCCTCGGCATAGCATTGGCTGTTGTTGCCAGCGACATTCTGTCATGCCACGATCACGAACCATTCGTAACACATTTGTTGCAATTTTTGTCGCTATTTGTTAAGGTTCAAAGGAGTCTGACGGAACAGGAACACTCGCCTGGGGGGCTATACTGCTGTAAAATATGTACTAAACAGCAGGATAAAACGATTTATTTTGTCTGCTTTAGTGTCCCGAACGTTGCATCATCAGAAGCTCCAAATGATTGCGGAAAGACATTTAAGCGATTGATGTAAAGGTCAACTTAGTAATGTGACTTTTTATAGACAATATAGAGAGTACACATGCCATAGTCCTGACAGTTACCAACAGTATCCTTCCATTACAGAAATCCGTATTTACAGTAATAATGCCATTATTAAATCTCCGATTATAGGTGTGAAATTAAATCGGTCTTTAAGGGTGTTAATGGTCGCTTACCGAGCGGCTGTCCGCATTGCACTTGCATTAAATTCACTTCCGGTGGAGCAACACCGACTTCCGCCGCAGCAGCCTAAGGGGAGCGGCGGAGGCTGGGCAATGGGCGGAGGGATGGGAGGACGAGGAGAACAGGTGTAAAGTGTGACGCCGCCAACGGGCGACACATTTGGCAGCTATTCAAGTGTGATAACAACAATGTGCCAAAACCGATAGAAGAGCGGAGGGGGGCGAAGTAAATCAAATTGAATAATTGCTACATACCAGCCGATAGAGAGAGGGACGGCTGGCAGGGACGTATGATCGAGCAACAAAAACAAACGCTCTAACAAGCCCGGGCTACAATAACAATAACACTGACAGGACATCAACGTTCCAGCCCCATTCCATTCATCTGCGATGAGATGCGCTGCGATGCGACTTCAATTCAATCAATTGAACGTGCCACGAGTGGATGCAATAACAAAATACCCGCCAGTGCCAGAGGGGGGAACGGAAACAAGGGCCCAGGACTCAGACCCAGGACCAAGGACCACGACCAGAACAGAGCAGAACAGGGAGCAAACCAACTGGCGTGTGAAATTGACAATGCAGCTGCAAAAGCAAGGAGGCACACAACGCGAAAGGCCGCTGGTCCCGAAAGAACACTGAAAGGATTTACGAAATATTTTTAAATTAAAAGTACATTTAATTAGATTTTTGACAAAAATTAAATAAAGGGAAAATGATATTGGTAGAGATCCGTGATGTATTTGAGCTCGAAGGACCATAACTGTATTGCATCATTATCCTTTTGGTTTCTTCCAGTACACTGAAACATTTTTGCACGCGACAATCGACCAGCGTTCGGGATTAAGAGCCAGGCACACCTGACACTCGCCAGTTTTCATGGCTCCACCGACCAGCGTTCCTGTCCGGCTTTGCTCCGGCATGAAAATGTCCTGTCCACCGTCCGCCGTCCTTCGTCGGCGTGTCCCCATTGATTGACTAGTGTACACTGCACCCACACACTCTGGTGCACACATTTTTGTATAAAACTGGACTGGTTAAATCAAGCAAATAAAACTTATTTAGGTTGCAGCCGTGGCCGCTCCCAGTGGCCGTGGTGCTCCTAGTGATTTTCAATATTTGTGTTGGGCTTCGGCCGTGGACGTGTGCCATATAACAGGTGTTGATATGTTTACGGACTCCCGAGTGGAATTGGGATGGGGACTGGGAGGGGGCTTGGGAAATGTGCGTGCAATTTGCACAAATTGCAGACAGACCGCACATCGAGGATGCGAGACAAGTTTGTGGCGGGATTCGCCTGGTTATCAATTAAACAATTAGGCGGCCATTATTTGAATAGGCGCCACATAGAGGCACCACTCCCACGAGAGCCCAGCCACTGGCTCCACTCTCCAGGTCGCCCAATAAACATTTCCCGCCCATCCTGATTGTCGTTTACCGTTGCCTCGCGATGGCACCGCCGCGATTGCCACGCCCACGAAGTGCAATCAAGCTCTTGGATCGAATTACATGCCAGTACGAGTATCTTAAAGTTGCACTCTTCGAGTGCACACACGTCAGGCCGAATTACAAGGGATCCGGTGGGAGGAGCGGCAGGGATTTTAAATTAAAAACTAAAATCGATTGACATTCAATTTGAGCAGCCAGCTTCCCGACTAACTGCTCCTCACAATCACCCTCGGTGGCTCCTCCAGCCAGCCCGTCCCTTGTATCTGAAGCCAACATTTGTCGCTATAAATTTTGCCAAGTTTTTTGCACATTTTCCAGGACTGGGATGCGACGCGATGCGGTGCGTGTGCGTGCGTAAGATACTCGGAGACAGATGGGATTGGAAAGTCGAAAATGCACTGAAAATAAATATTGAAAGAAAGAGATTTTCGAAATTTAAAAGTAGATTATAGCTTCTTAAATTGGAAACTTTAAAACATAAAGAGGAAAGTTTGTCTTTGAAAAATTTATAAAAATCAATAAAATTCAATGTCTTCTCACTGTGCACAGTTCTCATTCTTTTTCTTGGAGCTTTTGTTCCCAGGACAACCTTGACAGCTGATGCATCTGAAGCCGAGCCATCGGTGGCATTCAACACACGCTGACATATGTGCCATTTCAATGGAGATGCTTGGAAAGAAAATAGAAATACTTATAGAAAAAGAAATACTTTTAAGAAAAAACTATATATCTTTATGATTTAAGAAAGATGTAAAATAGACTCTATAAATAAAAGAAAGACTTAAAACTGTGACAGTGTCTTGCACCTTCTATTGTCATTTTTGTGGCATCGCTTTTGGCATCCTTGTCGGATGTTCACCGACAGCTACATCTTTCGACTTCAACTTTGGCTTCTGGCTCTAGATCTCTACCTGCAACTGCTGCTGTAACTGTATCCGTATCTGTATCTGTGCATCGGTGGCACACCGCACTCGACGTTTCTGCTGCCATGTGGCATGCCGCGTTTGCGTGCAAATTTTGTGACACTTCACCCACGGGAGCGTTTTTTGCAACTTTGGCAGTTGAACGGTGATCTGGGCCTGGGTCCCCACCTGCTCCGATTCTTCGCTCTATTAATCCTTGCTGGCGTTGACAAAAAGCAACTTGTAGCGACTGCATCTTTAAGCTGCCTGCCACAGGAAACTGCTGATTAAATATCCAGCATAGTTGCAACTAGACAACCCTTCATTCCCGACATCCCCAACATCCCCGACTTCCCAACGCCCACATTTCGATGGCGTGTGCATAATTTGCCAGCTTAAGTGCAGAAAAGAAAGACGAGCTGGGGAGCTAGGAGCTGTGGAGCTGAGGAACTGGGGAGTGGATGCAACAAGTTGCAGCCGCTTTTAATTGATATTAATTTAATTGACACTCGGGCTGAGTTGTGAACTCGCCTAGCCTCGCCTTCGCCTCGCTTCGAGGGAACACTGGATGGTGTTCCTTTGACTAATCGCGTGGGCTCAGCTCAGTCAGCAAGTGGCGGCTTCAATGAGCTCGTCGGCAAACAGAGCTGGAGAGCGTTTTATGAGTTTCCATTTAAGTTCAATTAGGTTTGCACTCGTGATTAGCATAATGAGCGGCTGGCGTGAAAGGGTTAAGACAGCCGGGCAAGTGTGGGATATTCCCAACGAGGCTTTCAAAGTAAGAGACTCCCAGTAAAAGTTCTCTGCGTACTATTT